AGAGAATGGAGACTGGTGGAAGCAGTAAAGAAACTGAACTCCAGATTTATCTAAGTGAAAAATTAGTGGAAGATGAAGAAAATGTGGAGTTTGATGTCCTAAGATGGTGGAAGGTTAACAGTGATAGATTTCCTATACTCTCTAGAATGACAAGGGATGTGCTGGCTGTTCCCATTTCAACTGTTGCCTCTGAGAGTGCATTCAGTACTAGTGGTAGGGTATTAGATCCCTTTAGGAGTTCCTTAACTCCTAAAATTGTTGAAGCCCTAGTATGTGCACAAGATTGGTTGAGGGCACCCAATCATCCAATCTCTGTTGAGGAAAACTTGGATGATGTTGAAAGATTAGAGAAGGGTACTGTTTTTATTTTCTAACTTTCTAGGTTTCAACTTTAGAAATTGTTAATTGTTACCTTTTCTAAACTATTTTTTGTTTATCCTTTTTGTGCAGAATTGTCCACTGGAGCTGCTGGTTCTTTACCAAGTGCTGTTGGAACACTCCCAACAATTGCTGTAATACTTTTATATAACATTGCTTTCTGACTTTCTGTTTAGTTTGATTGGTAAATGTGTGGACTCTTTGAGGCAACTCAGGTAAGATTCCAGAACTGCTAATTGCTAAGTGGCTTGGTAACTTTTTTATTAATGTTGCTGCCCTTAGCCCCTTACTCAGTTACATCTCTGGTATTCTGGAATTCTGGTATATCACTTCCCTTCCTCTCATATTCTCCTTTCTGTTTAGTTATGGCTATGATGATGCTTCCACCATTTGTCTGAATTAAAAGGACTTTGGGTGTTTGGTATGTTGCTCTGAGACAAAACTCATGAAGCAATTCCCCCCAACTCTAAAATGATATGAAAAAAAGCAATCTGAGCCTATCTTATTAATTATTATTAGTTCTCTACTTCTCTTTGTTTTTATTGGCTTTAAAGTTTAAATCCTTTAATGGTTTTATAATTGAGCAGGAAGATGAGGAATGGATGAATGCTGATTGCTAAAGGCTGATTGGTGAATGGTGACTAATGCTGAATGCTGATTGCTGACTGCTGAGAACTTTAGTAATTAGTATTTAGTACTTAGTAGTTTAGTGTTGTTGATTTTCTCATTTTGTGAACTTCATTTTTTGCTTTTTGAACTGCAATATGTAATTATGTAATTATGTATGTAAATGCCTACATAGCTTTGGTAATTTAGTTTAGGGTTATTACAATATTACTTATTAAGTTTGAACATTTTTACAGTTTTTTTTTTGGTATGTTTTATAATCCGACTACAAACCGAAATCCGACCCCAACCCGACCGTATCCGAACAGGGGAAATCCGAAAGGATTTCTCTCTTAATTCGAACGGATTGGGGTAGTTTTCCCCAATCCGAAATCCGATCGGATGGACGGATTGGCCATTCGATCCGTCCGAATCCGACCGATGCTCAGGCCTAGTGTGGACCATGGTCCACACAAGTTATGTAGACTATATTTTGTATACTATAAAATAATGTACTGAACAATCGCACGGGAACCCTTCCGTATATATATATATATATATATATATATATATAGAAGGGATCAGGTGCGGGTGGTGCTTCCCGTGCGGTTGTGCGAGTGGACGCACATTAAGCATTACACTGGCGCACTTTAAGTACACAACACACGCACATTAAACACACAAACAAAATACATTCAGAACACAAACTCACGCATCTTAAGCACAAAAGTCACGCATCTTAACCACAACCTTCACGCACCTTGACGAAATTTTAGAAATAGAGAAATCACCATTTTGGTCTCTCGAAGGGGTTTAATTGACAAATTTTTAAACAATTCAAGGATCATATTAGTTGAAATTGAAAATTATAGACTACATTGACAGTCGAGAAAAAATTGAGGGACCAAATAATAATTTTTTTCTCTATATAATTGAATGATTGATCTCATGATGAATTATCACAGTTTCTTCTTTTAAAAGAAAAAAAAATATTTAAAGTATGATTACATTATTACAATTGAATTGACATGCCATTAAATGATTTACAAGATATAGAGTAATTATATTGACAACATTCATTAAAATATTTATTGTGTATTCTTAAATATATTAGAATTAATATAAATTCACAATTCATTTAATTTTCTAGAATCAAACTGTTTGGATTAAAGACAAAATTGGTATCAATCTTGAGTCTTGACAACAAAAACACTTGGTATATAAGATGTAGCCACTATTTAGAAAAAGTTTATACACAAAGTGATCTGACAAACTATTTAACTCCATGCACTGTGGTGAAAAGGGAACAGTTGGTAGTCCAAGGTTAGTATTAATTCAACAAAAACATTTTACAAAAAACACATACACACACAAAATCAAGTACTACACACATTCATACTAATTCCAAAAATATGAACTTCAAAGTGAAAAGGTGCAAAATGAATGTTGAAATTGTTGATGAAACTGGACACATTGCGACATCAGTATTTGGACTACTTGTAGAATCATTGTTATTACTATCAAGTAAACAAGTTATGCGACTAGAACAAAATGTACTACTCATGAACCTTCTACAAATATAATAAATATTAATATTTTGTTCAATACTTTCACATGGATCTCACACCACATGAAACATGTAGGAAAAAAACTATCACGGCCAAATACCAACAGGCGTCATTTGCAAGATCAAGAGTTCATAGTACAACTAACTAAGATCTCAGTCCTATACACAACAATACAAATCTAAAGCTTCCTACATAATCTCATTGCATGACGATGTTTTCTATGCTACCACCAATAACCCAATTGCACATGACACTACCAATAAAAAAAAAAAAGAAGACAAGTACTGAAGATGAAGACAATGACAATGCTACCAAAAAGAGAATTACGAAGACATAGAGAAATTCAAACCAAAAATAATACTCATTTAAACTATCATTTTTAAACTAAGTATTTAGACTAGCGTTTTTACATAGTTGCAAACATTTATTTTAATGACAATTAAAATCAGTCTCTCATATATTATCTTTCGTTCTTATACTTTGAATACCGATTTAAATAAACAAATTCAACATTCAAATACCGATGCATTACATCTCCTATATAATCTTGTATTGATATATTTTGAAATACTTATTTAAAAATAAACATTGGGTACTATTCGATTCGCGCAATGTGCGTGAAAAACTAGTATATATATATATAGAATTTCAGATACCGATGCATTACATCTCCTATATAATCTCAGATATAGACAACTTTTCCTAGACTCACAAGATGAAAATGTTCTATTCATACTTATCACATCAGCAAATATAATTGATGGAATAGAATTTGAGAGTCCCTATAATAGGACTCAATAATAAATATACAAGGTAGAAGTTAGCTATGCAAAAATGAATAGCACAGCACTTATGCCAAACCTTTCCCTCATGAAATAGGCAATTAATTATATCATGGCTCAGGGTTTACATAGTTCTACAAAATTCATACTCGTAAAATACAGAATTTTATAACACAAGATATAATAAATAACAACACAAGAACTCATACACATGTTATATATTTACTTAATTATTTTTCAAATCTGTGTTCATAGGCACAGAATTTCTCAACACAAGACATAGAAATTCATAACATAAGACAAAACTATTAATTTGTTTTAGGTATAAATTCATACTCTTACAGTGCAAAATTTCATAACACAAGATACAAAAAATTCACAACATAAAACACATGCACATTTTTCTCAAAAAAAAAAAAAACACACACACACATACACATGCATCAATGATGAAGAGGTACATAATTCATACTCGTAAAGTACAAAATTTCATAACACAAAGCACAAAAAATCACAACACAAGACACTACATACATAATAACGTCATCTAAAAGTGTCATGGATGAATCAAGAGGAACAAATCAGCCACCCTAACTTTTATTTTTAAAAATAAAAATAATTATAATAATTATAATAATAAATAAACATTAAAAACAACAACAATAACCACCCCATAATGGCAACATGCATGTTAGAGAAAAAAAGGTTAAGTCGATCGTACTTTAGTTTATGGTTTATGTGCTATATGTGAAGGAATTAGCTGAGTGTTTATTGATGTAAAACATAACCTATATATAGTACATGGAGAAGTACGTGTAGATAGTAGGAAGTTATAACCAAATAACTAGTCTATAGGAGCACAAATAGAACAAGTAACAACTAAAGAGATTCTAGCCACATATTGGCTTAACACGCCCCTGCAAGATGGAGGATCCGTCGGAGACTCCAATCTTGGACCGAAGCTGAAGAAAGAGGCGACGACCTAGTGGCTTAGTGAGAAGATCGGCTAGTTGAGCTGAGGACGAAACGTGCCGCACAACTAGCGTACCATTTGCAACCAAATCCCGGACAAAGTAGTAATCCAAGGCGAGATGCTTCATGCGGGAATGAAACACGGGATTCTTGCAAATGTACATGGCGCTCAAGTTGTCACAAAACAGTACCAGAGGCTCAACCAGTCCCAATTTTAACTCTTGCAACAAATTTTTGACCCAGAGGACCTCAGCTGCTGCATTTGCCAGGGCCCGATACTTCACTTCCGTGGACGATCGCGAGACAGATTTCTGCCGCGTAGACTTCCAAGAAATTAAATTATCGCCTAGGTACACCAGATATGCGGTAGTGGAACGACCCTCAGTGGACGACCCACCACATGTTAATACATAGTATGTTAACGGTAAATAAATTAAATAACCATATAAACTGTAACTATTAGTACAAAACATATCGACTGTTGTTCTGACAATTAACTTTCAGACCCTACATATATGTTATTGTCATTAATTATTACATTTAAGTGAGCTTTAAATGAGCTTTCCTATTGTGGTTGCTCATTCATGGATTGCAACTATATATTCATATTAGAGATTGAACTCGAGCAGCAAGCCTGCAATCGAATACCTTTAGGATTCTTTAATATTGTAATTGTAATTGCAATTTCAATGGCATGTTTATCTGCTCCACTGCGGTTCCGTGTAAGAAGAAGCAAGCCTCAGCTTATCGTGCCATCAATTTCAATGGCATGTTGGGCCTTAGGGTTAGAGTTCAGCCTTTTGGAAGAATTTCAATGGCATGTTTATCTGCTCCACTGCGGTTCCATGTAAAAAGAAGCAAGCCTCAGCTTATCGTGCCATCAACCTCGACACCTCATGAACAAAAACCGCTTTCCGATCTCGATGATCAAGGCACCGTTCGACTTCATGTTCCAGTTTTGATGTTTTACATGAACAATGTTAAAAGGAGAGGGGAAGAAGATCCAGCAATGGCTATCAAAGAAGGGTTAGCTAAAGCACTTGTTTTCTACTATCCCTTGGCGGGTAGGATTTTTGAAGGGGAGAATGGAAAACTGATAGTGAATTGCAATGGGAAAGGGGTTTTGTTTGTTGAAGCAAAAGCGAATGTTAAGGTTGAGCAGCTAAGTGATAAATCCATGCAGCCACCATGTCCATACTTGAAGCAACTCCTCAACACTGTGCCTGGCTCCGAAGGGATCATTGATTGCCCTCTTCTACTTATTCAAGTAAGATAATAGAGCTACACCAGCTTTGTCCTATTATGTTTCTGGTTTAATTTCAAGTTATTTTTAATTCAATTTTTTATAATATTAAGTTGAGTTTTAATATACAAGATTTATATATTTAGAAATTACATTAAAAGTATTATTAAACACAAATTAAAAAGTAAAAAAGATGAGAATATATTTTCTGTGTATTAATCAAGAGCAACGGATACAAAGTATATAAAGACACGAAATAGAGATCTAGTCTAATACTACTAATATTATAGAGATCTAGTCTAATACTACGAGTCCTAATACTCCCCCTCAAGCACAAGGTTGGTCAGCCAAAACATTGAGCTTGCAACGGAGTAAATTAAAACGCACAGACGAAAGAGATTTAGTAAAAAAATCCGCTATCTGATCTTTGGTAGAAATAAAATTGACTTGTAATTCCTTCTTCGCGACTTTATCACGAACAAAGTGGTAGTCGTTCTCAATGTGTTTGGTGCGAGCATGAAACACCGGATTAGCACACAGATAAGTAGCTCCCAGATTGTCACACCTGAGTTTGGGCACAGAAGGTGGCGCAAACCCGATTTCCTTCATTAGAGAGACAAACCAAGTAACCTCTGCAGAGACATCAGCCAGTCCTTTGTATTCAGCCTCAGTTGATGAACGAGCCACGGTACGCTGTTTTCGACAAACCCATGAGACAAGATTGGTCCCCACAAACACAGCAAAACCACTAGTAAATTTGTGATCATCAGGATTACCAGCCCAATCCGAATCAGAATATGCATGAATATCCAGAGAAGGAGAAGACGCAATCTTAAGACCAAGATGTAGTGTCCCATTTACATACCGTAACACTCTCTTGAGAGCCGCCCAATCCGCAGTAGAGGGAGAGTGCATGTGCTGACACAAACGATTGACTGCATAGGAAAGATCAGGCCGAGTTACCGTAAGATATTGCAGAGCATCTGCAAAGCTGCGATACTGAGTGGGATCAGCGTATGGTACCACGGCATCAATCTCGGCCTTCATGGTTGAAACCGGAGTAGCCTCGGGCTTGGAATCAACCATACCTGCTCGTTTTAGAATATCCTTCATGTACTGTTGTTGAGACAGAAGCATGCCATCAGACAACGGAACGGTCTCAATACCCAGAAAAAACGAGGGCACACACATATCACGAACTTTAAACTCAAGAGCCAACTTGTCAATAAGAGCAGTCACATGAGCCGGATCAGATCCCATAACCAAAATATCATCCACAAAAACCAGAAAATATAGACGAATATTGCCATGTGAATATATAAATAAAGAGACATCTGTCTTGGAAGGTGAGAAACCAACAAAAACCAGAAAATCATGTAAACGAGTGAACCAAGCACGGGGAGCTTGCTTAAGCCCATATAAAGAACGTTGAAGGAGACAAACGTGCCCGGGCATCGTTTTGTCTTCATAGCCAGGGGGGTTGGCGCATATAAACCGTCTCAGCGAGATTGCCATTTAGGAAAGCATTGTGTATGTCTAACTGTCGAATAGTCCATCCACGAGAAATAGCTAAGGATAAAAGAAGACGTACCCTAGTCGGTTTAACCACGGGACTAAAGGTCTCAAAGAAATCCTCACCAGCAACCTGATTGAATCTCTTGGCAACCAAACGAGCCTTGTGACGCTCAATCGAACCATCAGTTTTCCTCTTGGTTCTAAACACCCACTTACAGCCAACCACATTCATACCTGATTAAAAGGAACAAGCCGCCATGTATTGTTTTGCACTAAGGCATTAAATTCCAAACCCATTGCATCCCGCCATTCGGGAAATTTGACCGCTTGAGTAAAACATGTAGGCTCAATAGTGACGTCAGTAGATAAAGCAACATGGTCATGCGTCCCGAGCTCGGCGTATTCATCGTATGAGACCGAACGGGTGTTGTACCATCAACAAACCCTAGAAGCCCTTGGCCTTCAAGAAACGGAAGCATCTGAGTTCGCCAGAATAGATAATTTCGGGAGGTCAACTTTAAAGAAACGAAGTGATGAGCCGATGACAGGCTACCACTCGCAGGCATTGTAGGAATCTCGGTAATGGTCCGTTCCGAAGAACCAAGAACAGAGCCATCATTAATACCGACGTTTTCCATGAGAGAAAACCTAGCTGATACCAGATGAGAATATATTTTCTGTGTATCAATCAAGAGCAGCGGATACAAAGTATATAAAGACACGAAATAGAGATCTAGTCTAATACCACTAATATAATAGAGATCTAGTCTAATACTACTAGTAGAGTCCTAATAAAAAATACTAAAGAAAATAAGCAAAGAAGAAATAATTGGTTTCACTATGAATAGTAAATATGACAGGTAAAATGTAAGAGATAGGGTATTAATTTATTTTTCTTGAATTAATTCATGATTTAATACTTTACTTGAGTTATATTTTCATTTTTAATTCTATTCAAATAATTTGATCATATTTTATTATTCCTTTGTTTATAATTTAATTCCAAGAAAAAAAAAATTAAATTGCCTTCACCAACAAGAACATCATACCAAAAAAAAAAAAAAAAAAAAAAAAAAAAACCTAAAAGATTCTTCTTTTTATCTTCTCAAACACAATATTTAATTTGTTAGGAGAAGAATTGAATGCAGTCACCTTCTCGAGACTAGCTCCATTTTGTTGAGACATGCATTTGCTTTAATTTAATTAGGATTTGAATGAGGGTTGAAGACTGAAAAGGAAAGTTCTCTACCTAATATTCAAACGCAAATTTCTAAACTTTACGGTGTTTTTTTTTTTTTTTTTTTTGGAAAGGAACTTTACGGTGTTATTTTAACCGTTTTGTTGAAACTTTTATTTTCGAATTCTTGAAATATTCCTACAAACTTTCTTCTTTATAAAAAAAATCAAATATATATCAACTTACTACAAATTGTCACATCAAAAATTGACAAAAAGTGAGTGATTTTTGTATGTGCATCTATCACTATTCTAATACGGAGTAATATTTACATGAGTATAAAAGACTCAGTGATACTCTCTTTGATCTATCACTAACACTTAAAATTGTAAACTTTTTTCTCTCAAATATAAATACTTGAAATTCATCTCTAATGCAAATTTCTAAACTCCCCAGCATTATTTCAACCTTAGATTAATTATTTTAATGAAATTTTTATTTTCGAATTCGTTAAAAATTCTTACAATTTCTTCTCATTCCATTTTAGTATTTTACCTAGCTTACCCTTTTTCCTTCTATCTCAAAATACTACCTAAATTTGTCTAGTCTTGAAAAGCAAAGCCCCCACCCCACCCCCACCCCCCACCCCTATTAATTTTTTATTTTTCAATTTACACTTGACTTTTCATCTTAATTAAGAGTTAATCAACGATTTGGTCCCTCAATTATTAGTGACCTGTCAATGTAGTCCCTCAATTGCTTATTCATCGATTTGGTCTCCGAAAACAATTATTTTTAATCGATTTAGTCCCTCCGGCCGTCGACGGAAGACGGCCTGCAGGACTAAATCGACTAAAAATAATTATTTTCAGGGACCAAATCGATGAATAAGCAATTGAGGGACTACATTGACAATTCGTTAATAATTGAGAGACTAAATCGTTCATTAACTCCTTAATTAATTAATAATGGTAACCCGTATATTTTCCTTTAAAGTACCATACAAGGCATTGGGTAGATTTTGAATAGATTGTATATGGTAGACCATATATTAATAATCTGGGACCCCTACAGTACCATACAAGGCATTGGATAGATTTTGAATAGATTGTATATGGTAAACCATATATTAATAATATGGGACCCCTACAGTACCATACGAGGCATTGGGTAGATTTTTAATAGATTGTATATGGTAGAGCATATATTAATAATATGGGACCCCTACACAAATTAAGCAGGTTTTGCCATGGCCTAATATAGTAATATTATTGTTGGTGTGTCTAATTTGTTTTGTTTTTTTTTTTTTTGTTTTTTATATTTTTTTTTTTAATTTCAAATATCAACTAAGTGCAACTTGTCACATCAAGAGTGACAAAAAATGAGTGATATTGTAGGAACATCCAGTATTATGTACTCTAATAATATTTTTCTTTTATTATAAAGAAGAGGATACCTACATATACAATCTACCACATAATTGCCTCCATTCCTCTCACATAGAGGAGGAGAAGCAACTTGATATCATTGGACTATACAAGGTCCTTGGTATATTCTAATACGGAGTAATATTTAGTTTAGTTAAATAGACTCTAAGTAAACAATGTAGACATGGCTAAAGTTGACATATAACAAACTCTCTACATCACCGACACGTATCATTATCTACTAGGTTTTTTACGCGTTTTACGCGAATGAGATAATGCCCAATGATTATTTTTAAATAAGTATTTCAAAGTATATCAATGCAATATTAATAGGAGATATTTATGCATAGGTAAATAAATGTTTTTTTTTTTTTTGATAGGAATGTAAATAAATGTTGAATTTGTTTATTTAAATTGGTAATTTAAAGTATATAAAATCAAGATAATATCTAAGAGATTGATTATAATTGTCACTAAAATAAATGTTTGCAACTTTGTAATAACGCTAGTCTAAATAAATACTACTTTTGGTTTAAATTTCTCTAATTCTTCTTAATTCTCTTTTGGGTAGCATTGTCATTGTTTTCATCTTCAGTACATGCCTTCTCTTCTTTTTTTTCTTTTTTCTTTTTTTTTTTATTGGTAGTGTGTCATGTGCAATTAGGTTACTGATAGCAGCATAGAGAGATTCATCATACAATGAGATTACGCTGTAGCTAGGAAGCTTTAGATTTGCCTTGCTGTGTATATGACTGAGATTTTAATTGTAATATGAACTCTTTATCTTACAAACACCTATTGATATTTAGTAGTGGTAGTTTTTCCCCTACATGTTTCATGTGTTGTGAGAAGTTTGTCGTAGGTTATCATGTGAAAGTATTGAACAAAATATTAATATTTATTAT